TGGTTCGTCTTGGTGATGCACGGCCTGGATGCAGCTGCTCATCCATGGATACCCATGAAGCTCTCTACACACTTTTCTTGAGTTAATCTGAAGGCTACATGAATGTTGGAGGTCTGTAGAATTTGACTCTCCAGAAAGTTGGCGACCTCTGCGCCTCAGCATCCACTGACCCTGCTCTGTAAATTTACATGGCCTGCCATTTCATTGCTCAGTTGGTGTGGTTCCCAGTTGCTTCCAGTTTGTTATAATACCACTAAAAGTTGACTGTGGAATACTAAGCAGTGAGGAAATTTCGAGACTGGACTTGATGATACCTTTTTACTTGTTGTAAAGGTATCATCCTATCACAGTACCACGCTGAAACTCACTGAGCTCCTGAGAGACTCTTTCACACATATTTCTAGGAGTCTGCATGCTTAGGTGTTTCATTTTAAACACTTGCGACAATGCAAGAGGTTGGAACTTTTGAATTCAACGATTTCGATGGGTGTGTGAATAATTCTGGCAATGTAGTATAGTTTGGCAAATTATTTGAGAGTGTTTATGTAACAACACTCTAACCGAGCCTTGAAAACATTGTATTCCTTCCTCAGAGGCTAAAAATCAAAGTGTTTAGGCATTCCAGCCAGACCAAGATGTCTCATCCCGACAACAATGAATCCTTTGCATACTATTAAAGCACTAGTGTCTTAATGTCTGCTCTGCCTAGTAAACAACATTATCTGCCAAACCCCTTTCCGCTAAAAATGTGGTCAGATTTCCAAATGCTACAGGCAAGTATTTCTAGAGGACCTACAAAACAAGCAAGTAAACTCTTCCTTAAGTGAAAAAAAATCAGTAAAATGTCTTTTCAATTACATAAATATCAACTTTCACTGTTTTTCCCTTCTTTTTTGCTAGATAAAGACCATTATGCACTGCCCCGGCCTGTATAATCAAATTCAGGTGAAGGAATGCTGCATCTATAAACATGTTCCTACCTTCAGTTCTAGCAGATCCTCTAACCAACAAGTCGTTCATGCTCACGGTAACTACGACAACAAACAGCAACAACAATAAGAGATATCAATATATCAGCACCACGAGGGGTTTGCAGCTGTCCTGTCATCCTTTGGTGTAAGTTGTTCTCAGGATAACAGCGAGCCCCCTCCCACCTACCCACCCTTGCTATTATCCTGCATGGCACTGGTACAAAAGTGGCTTAGGATGCAGCATGGGAATAAGAAGAAAGATAAATGTGACAAAAGAAAGATGGAGCCGAGCCAAATGGTTGGAGGAGGAGAGATGAAAAGAGGTTTGTGTATGATGGAGTCCAGACAGCTCCCACAGCTAAAGGGGGAATATTCCCATGATCTGCTGGAGACTTTGATAATACAGTAGATGTAGATTTACTGCTCACTCGGAGTGGGGAGAAATGTATTAGCCGTTCAGAATGGCTCAACACTTAGAAGCTCTTTATCTCAGGTTTTATTGCCCATCGTTAAATTCTAAAAACCTTATTTTCTTCCACCACGCCACATGATTTCCTCATGTTGCTGTTAATTCAATTTGGGAAATTTCTTAGACCAAGACAGATCATCATCCTGGAATCAAGAAAAAACAACTCTTAACATTTGCTTCTCATTTGCTTTGGAAACAGGTATAATTACACTTGGGTCTTTAATGCACTGGCACATATATGGAAAAATGATCCAAAAGATCCCTTTTTAGACAAACAGAAACACTTTGTAAGCTCTATAAACACACTGATCCAAAAGCAAACAAGAAGTAGACCCCAAAAGTACTTACTGTGCCCACATAACCACCAACACACCTTACCTCCCAGACTCTACAGACAATGGCACAGCTTGTTTTGTATCGATGACAAACCCAAAGCTATCCCTTCATGAATCCCAGAAACAAAACGGCTCTGTTGTGACTCAACAGCTCTAAACAAAGCTCACATGACAGAAAAGGAATGACGCCAAAAAAATAAAAGTGAAAGGTTGCAATCCACGTAGCGCTAACACAATGGAAGGTCTCTCCTTTAGTGACTGGGGCTCTTCCTGTTCAAACAGCCTTTTACAGTCAAAGGGTGAATCAAAAGGGAGATGGTAAAATGCTGCTTCCCCTCTTTAAGGCCCATTTTAATAGGCTCCTGAATGAACACTGTGTGTGCACACAATCGCTCTTTCATGCAAAAAAACAACAAGACAAAGGAATAACAGGGACTAAGGACTATGCTGAGGGACGTACTGTAAGTATGCTAAGGAATAAAAGGCCTGGGATGCATTTTATTAATTTGTTTAAAGTTAGACAGTAAAAGGAACAATTTTTTGTACTCGCTCTTTTCAGCAATGCACACGTAACACCCTGGCACACAACCAGTGTCCACAGGTGAAGGCCATGGCTGAAGGGTGTGGGTGGGGAGATGGGAAATTCCCACTCTAAAGTGGAAGGGCAACAGATGTTGAAAGGTTGCGGCTGAGAATTAAACTTACTCACCTTGTAAATCCATTGTTTTACATTTGATGACTAGGAAATGAATGTTGGAACGAACTTTTGCAGCCAGGAGAAAAGTGAGACAAATTCAAAGCCCGTCGACATCAAATGCCATCTCATTCACCTTTAACACAGTTTGCAGTTTTTGTTTTATTATGTGGATTTGAAAATATACGCAGCAGTGAAAGACTTCTTTAGGTCTGTTTCCTCTGGCATGTGTATGTAAGTATGTGTACAGTGCTGTACAAAAGTATTGATCACGTCCTCATTTCTTTACTTTTTGTTTGGAAAATTTTAATAAATATTGCTGAAACATTCAAACACATAAAAAGCATATTCTGCAAAAATGAGCTTAAAAATGAGCGCTTGATATGACCACCTTTATTCTTCACACAGCCTGATCTCTCTTAGCTGAGCTTTCTTGTCCTTTCCTCCTTGTAATTTCTACTGTTCAGGAATAGTTCTCCAGGCTTGTTGATTTCTAAGAATGGCTGACTGGGAGCCACGTTCCACTGAGGCCATTTCTAATGAGGCTTCAAACTGATCAAGTGAAAGGCCAAGTGTATCTCTCAGGTCCTGTGTCGGATCTTTACTTGATTTTCTTCTATTTCTTAAGGACATGTCTTTCAGATACTGTTCATCAGCTATAGATAGTGATTTAGGATATCTATCTTTTTCTTTTGTCTTCCACTCCTTCAGCTCCCTCAGATTTTAAGGACACGCTACATTTGTTGCTCATGGTCTCCAGAGGATGCACTTGCAACACTGCCAGATTGATTCCCTTGCTCGTTTCCATCGTCCTCTGCTGTTCTCTTTTACTTTACTTGTCCTGCAGCCAGCTGCGGCGGGGAAGCACCAGAATGAACCAAACACCAAAGGCTCTTTGTCCACCAGTGTCAGACAACACACTTTCACTCTTCCCTCTCTTTGTCTGTCTACCTCCTACATTCACCCAGCATGCGCATGAGTCTTTTCTGTCTCCAGCTTTCAGCAATGCTTCACCTCTGAGCCCCAGCCCACACAGCAAATACCGCTGAGAGGAACTTCTCCCTTCTATCTGGCTCATTCATTGTCTCGAACACCGGGTCGCTTCTGTCTCACTCCTCTTGCCTTCATTTTTCACTTCCTCATCAACGCAACCTCCGTCTTTCACTCAGAATTGGTGACCCCACCCAACACCCACGTGGCAGTGACTTCATCAGGCGGCAGCTGCTGCAGTCAAGGCCACAGGAGCAAAGTGTTGGTGGGGAGGCCAATTATCTCCGCCACCGTGTCTGGGACACCAGCGTGAGACCTCTGGAGGACATCGCCCACCTCGGCGTCTCATCTCGCCACTTAATCTTTCAAAATGTGCATCTGTGAATTTCATTTGTCAGTACTATCAGCTGTAGGAATGTCCACTTGTGTTGTCTGGGAAATGAAGCGGTGGTACTGTTCAAGGCCGCTGTCAACAAGGCCATCAAAGTACTGACAAACTGGCTCTGCTTTCCTCAGCCACTGTTTCAGCACACCTCTTAGCCAAGTGCAAGGTTTGCGAGTGGAAAATTACAGCTTTATATTAAAACACTCCGGTGTTTGTGGGGAAGTCATGATTGAAGCACCCCAGAAATAAGGGAAATTCCAGCCTAGTGCAAAATGGATTAAAGAGTTAAACAACCATTTTATTTTTACTAGATATCTAGGATTTCTTTCCTGCACAGTTCATCACCATTAAATCTAAACACGTTTCTTTCCCGGAGTTGCTTTATCTCTTTGCCTGTGCTTAAAGGTCAGCATTACAGTAGACTATTTGTTCAGGCAGCCACATGAGGAAGCTGTTTGAGAGTCTCATTTAAAGGCTCCAGCTTAGGTTTCAGGTGGTTTGCAGCTCTGCAGCGGGTCTGTGTGTTTACAAAGACTCAAATGACACTTGGAGTCCTGGTTTGCTTTGATTTTTCAGTTTTTCCACTTTTCATGTTTTTTCTGTGTTATCTTGAAAGCAGCAGGTGTGATTACAACCACCTGTTTGATGGCTACTCATTTAAGTGGGCTAATCTCACGCATCTGAACCAACACATGCATAGCCAGCTGATGTCTATGGATACAATATGAAGAGACTGCCATCTGCTGGATAGTTCCTTAAATTACATGCCCCATGTGTGCTGGTAGATCTTTGCCCGCCTGGACTGGGAAGTGACCACATAGGGTCACTGGTCCTGAGGTGGGCCGGACCAGTGCATAAAATTACAGAAAAAGTTTTCCAATTAAAAAATATAATTTTTTTCTATCTAGTGTAGAAACAGACATTTCTTTCAATAGAAAAAGTTGTAAAAATTATGAAAATGCAGTTTAAAACGTCAAAATCTATACACTCGCCAGTGGGCCGTATTGAACTCTTTACCGGGCCCATTCTGGCCTCTGGGCCTTATGTTTGACGCCCCTGACTTAGATAAAGGTACTAAGTGATGTATGATAAAACAAACAAGACATGCACACATGATTGCTGCATTGTAAAAATGTTCTTTATTTCATGCTTTTGATTTTTTTTTTTTTTAACTTTACCTCAAAAAGCGTTGTTTAGTTATGAAAAAGTCTGCGATGTTTAAGATTCTCAGCTTTGATCAAAAACCAGATTTCTACCACTTTTCTCAGAGCGTCGAGCTGAAGCAAAAAAACAACAAAAACGGCCTCGTGGCTGTGCGTGCGTGTGTGTGCGTGCGTGGTCAGAGATGCTGGTGCAGCCACAGCGCTGTGTTGAGGAAGCAGTCAACCTGTGTGTCCACTCTGGACAGAGAATGTCCATCTTCAGGAAACCACAGCAACCTGATTTTAAAGAAATAAATGACAGGAATGACTGAGTTGAATATGAGTAAAACCAGTGTGGCAGGGCTCACACTGTCAGATTGTCTTTATGTAGTTTGTTGTGCCCCGTCGTACCTGACAGGTGAACCTCGGCTCTTCAGTGCTTTATAAAGCTCCATCCCCTGGTGTGGAGACACCCTCCTGTCTCTGCCTCCCAGCATCAGCAGCACCGGAGCCTTGATCTGCACATTGTCACACAGCACATTTCTTTACCCACATTTTTGACTCAAAAAACATCACTATAAAAAAGTCCTGTGTTTACAATTGCAATGACTGAGCTTCCACAGGGCGGGCTTAGTTTTTAGAGACACAACTGAGAGTATAAGAGCGGTAACATCATCTCTGAGGCACCTTTGTCTCGTCATTGTGGAGTCTGGGATTTAATCAGCATTGTGAGCTCTAGAGGGGTCTAAAGAAGATTTCCTTATTAAAGCAGCTTTGTAGCTATCGCTTCTGGTTGTTTCATTGAGGTTATCACATGGGATTTTTGTGTTTGTGTTTGACCTTGGCGGCATGTGCGATGGGTGACTTCTGTAACATAGCAGCCAGGGCCTCAGCAGTGGGTATCTGGTCGTACGAGTAGTGAAACCCAGCACTGGTGTAACGCCTGGAGATGGGGTGACAGAAAGCATTCACGTATGAAGTGGATTTGATTTGATTCAGCAGAACAAAAGCTCTCATCTGTCGATGCATATCTGCATGGATGCCTCACCAGTCCACTATATCACTGGTTCCCAGTAGAGTAGCAGCATTAATGACAGGGTTCCTGGCTGCGCACACTTTGTAGGACTCAGGATACTGACCGAGCAGGTGACAGGCCAGGAAACCGCCGTGAGAACCACCTATTGCAGCCAAGCGATCGGGGTCGAGGTTCGGGTCACGCTCCAGCGCAGTAAGCACAGCCCTCTGGGTGAAAGACAAGGAAGCCAGGACAGATCATTTCCTTACATCTGCAGGGGTGACTGTGCAAGTGATAGAGCTACATGTGCAGATATGGTCAAATATGGGAAAAATAATTCTGTTTTTGTAATTCTGACAAACTGTGTCACTGGCAGGATTTGTTGCTGACATCACTCTTTCCTGGATTTGGGAGCAGAAAAAACAAAAAGGACATACCTGCACATCTTTTACATCCTGGCTCCCGATCTGACCGATCAGTGACAAAATGCTGTGCTGGCCGAACCCCGTGGATCCCCTGTAGTTCACTGGGTAGAGACACAAAATTAGAAAGGGAAAAACAGCAAAATCAAAACTAAAATGTTAAAGAAATACTAACAATATTAATATTAATAATATTAACCCTGAAAGGCTTGTAGTTGTTGTAGATGGTGACTGATTTGCTTGTTCACCAGAAGATATTAAGTTTCTGTATTTTCTTTCTTTTATTAAAAAACAAAACAAGATAACGTAACGTATCTGGTAATGGTGGGATGATTGTGTATTTATGTATATATATATATATATGTATTTTTAATAAATGGTTCATATTTAGAATAAAAAGAATCAGAGACACACTTGGGCCGCGGTTCTCAGCTGAAAAAAAGGTGTGTCGACTCCGGGTCAGGGACAGGGTACTGAGCCAAGTGGAGGAGTTTAAGTATGTCAGGGTCCTGTTTATGAGTGATGATAGAGTGGAGCAGGACACCGACCGACTGACTGGTGTGAAGACAAAGCTTTGACTTCGACTATGGTCACGAGCCTCTGGGTAGTGACTGAAACAATGAGATCACATATACAAGCTGCAAAAATTAACTTCCTTCAAAGGGTTGCTGGACTCTCACGAGAAAGGGTGAGGAGTCACTGAAGAGGGACTCAAAGTAAAGTTGCTGCTCCTCCACATTGAAAGGGAAAGCTGTGGTAGTTCAGGCAACTGATTAGGAGGGCTCCTGGCCCTTGCATAAGAGTGGTATTTCAGGCATGTCCTACAAGGAGGCAGCTCTGGGAAAGACCCAGGACACACTGGAAAGATTATCTCTTGGCTGGCTTTCAAACATCTCAATGTCCCTGGAGGAGGTGGCTGGGGAGAGGGAGGTCTGGGGTTCTATGATTAGACTATTACCCCTGAGAGCTGGACTCAGATAAGCAGCAGAAAATGGGTAGCGAATCAGAGCCTTTACTCCATTGTTTCACATGTGTACTTTTTATTGACTGTTTAATTATTACTATTAAGTGAATAAACCAAAAAAGAAACAAATATACCGTTTGCTGTATTTATAACTCTCTGAAGACAACAAGCTAATCCAGTTTTTAATCTTTACCTTAAATTAAATTCACCTCATTTTCCAAAATGTTAAACTCATTTGTGTGCACGGCATGAGAGCCTGACAAAATCTAAGCAGCACATGTATCTCACCCATGAGCAGAGCAAAGCCGAGTTTAGCCAGCCCAGCTGTGGTGCTGTTCCACTCTGCAGGGAACTGAGAGTGAGGGCCCCCTAGTGGTGCAAACAGCAATAACAGGAAAACGATTTAATAAATCACCCACACAGTAGACAGAAAAAAAGCAATAACACGGCATAACAAGTAGGGACATGAATACAGACCATGGATGAAGACCACAAGAGGTGTCCTGGTTTCACCAAGGGGACGAGATGGTTTAACCAAGACTGCACCAAAGTCTAAGCCAGCTGTGTAAGACAGAGAGGAAGTAAGAGGACAATGGATCTGAAACTCAAAACACGTCTACTGAAGGAGAAACTGAAAGCTCACGGTAGTTTGCGTTCTCCTCGTCCGATGGAGGAGTCACATCTAGAACTTTCCAGCTGAAGTCAAAGGTCATGAGGGGTTCCTGCAGAGTTTGCCAGGACACGGCCTCACCTGCACGCGGGACAAACCCCACCCTCTGCATGCACGTCCATCCCCGTGGAAACAAGAGGCAGACAAACAGAAACATATCAAATCATTTTAAATAACTGAAAACATTCGCACATGCATTGCATGTTTGTGTTCACATGTGGCGTCGTGGTTTGTCCGACCAGAGTGGGAGGGGTGTTTGGGCTGGAGCAGCAGACCACCATCAGGTCTCTCTGGACTGTCAGCAGTTTCCAGCTGCCATAAAGTTGGGAAGAAGAATCCGAGAGGTCTGAAGAGGAGGAAACAAAGACGGAGGTGAAGAGGGTGAAAGAAGAGATGAAGAATAAACACACGGGCTCTTGACAGGGGTGAAACAAACAGAGAGAAAGGTCAACCCTTAGAGAGGCAAGATGTGCTGTTCTTTTTTTTTGGTCTTGTCATACCTTTCTGTTTTCCCTTGTCCTCCTGGTGAAGATGAAACAGTGGAGGAGGAGGGAGAGGTTCAGAAAGAGAATCAGAAGGAGGTGGAGGTGGAGGAGGAAGGGGAGATTCATGAGGCAGGGGAGGAACTGGAACCGGAAGAAAAGGAGAAGGCGGAGGTGGAAGAAAAGGGGAAGGAGGAGTTGAAGAAACAGGAGATAATGAATGAGAAACAGAGGGGGAATCGTCTGGAGGAGGGAAAAGAGGAGATGGGAGAGGACAGGAAGCCCAACATGGGAAAGGGGGAGGGGGGAGCAGAGGAGAGAGGGGAGAAGGAGGAGGAGGAGGGAAAAGAAGTGATGGAGATGAGGACAGGAGGGAAAGAGGAGGAGGAGGAGGTGGTGGTGGTGATAGAGGTGGAGGAGAGGATGGACTCTTACTATCAGAGAGGGAGGTGACTATCTTTGATCTTCTGTCAACTAGGAAGAGACCCTGAAAGAGAGAAACGCAAAATGAGCCATGGAGAAGTGTGTGTGTGTTTGTGTGTGTAACACAACATGTTATAGACAAAAAAATAGGAGTTGTTTCAGTTATACCAGGTTGTGCCAGAGAAATGTGTTTGTTACCTTCCAGTTCCTGCAGGCGCTGCTGAACATTACTCTCTGGCTGTCTGCAGACCAGCAGCAGGACGGCAGCGCTTCATACATGCCTGCAAACTCACCTGGAACAGAAAGACGTGCAGAGGGGTTCAACTCTCCACCGAGCTCCTCAATCTTTACGAGCAATCACAAGTTCTCTTGATGCATTAATCTCTTACTGTGAGAATTTATAGTTCTTCAAATCTGAATTTTGAAAAACTCATCCATCACAGTTACAAAATTCGAATTGAAACTGACACGAGCCTCTCTTTTGGCACCTTCAGGAACTGTAACGTACCAGCTTGTGGCCTGCTGACAACATCCAGCAGCGTAGATGTCTCCCCGCTTTCCAGATCCAGCTGTGGAGGATGATCCATGAGTCAGTCTGCAGTCAACCATTAAGAGAAAGAACACACAGACATGCACAAAAACCCCACACACATGAGCACACATACAGCACCTGCTGCAGACTGAGGCACTGGTTGTGAGGACCAAACACCGCACCCTGCAGGTAGATCAGCGTGGACCCATCAGGACTTAGCCTGGGATTGGACACTGAAAGGTTTTCCCCCGACAGACGTTCTGGTTTGGAAGACGAGAGGGCTAGCTGAGCAAAGTGGGGGCACAACTTTAATATATTAACAAACAGACAAAGAGAATGCTCTCACCACAATGTCCACACAGGTCAATCTTGAACAAGGCTGACCTGAAAGCGTTTAGACCAACCGAGACATAAATTGAAGAAGTACGTTTTAAATGTATATGTATACAGAAATCGTGTATTTGCTTCAGTCAAACTAACTACACTTTCTTTTCATAGTGTCTGAAAACATTCACAAGTTTCAGGGTCATTTTGCTGTTTCCGTAAGCGCATTTAAAGCAGCTCTCTAACCTGCGGTTGGAGCAGAACTTCAGTCCGAGTCTGAAGGGTTCGTGGTACCAGCCAATGAAAAACACTGCCTGACTGCCGGGAGCCCACAGAGCCTGGAGATAAAAACACACAAATGTACAGAGAGAAAAAAACCTTCTTCTTTTTAGTTTGTATGAAAGTTACTTACAGAATAAGGTGTTTGAACATTTACGGTTCAGTGCCGTAAACGTCTGCATCCTCACCTGTCCAGGTGAAACATCAGGCGGAACGCCCTCCAACACGCTGGCCGCGCCGATCTCCAAATCCACCACACAAATCGCCGGCTCGCTCCTATTGGTCAGGGCCTCCCCCCAATCTTCACAGTACAAACTCCTGTCCTGATTGGGCATCGGAACCCACGTCCCCCCAAAGAAACAGAACAAGAGTCCGGCACTCAAACACTCTGCTGTAAGGTTAGCAAAACAGCACGAACATATGTTTGCATCATACCTTTCTCCACGCGTGTCCCCCATCTTGCGTTTCGGCTGATGCGTTCTTGCTTCTCTCCGCTACGTACAGCAGTTTGTTCTCACACTCTGACCATGACAGGCAGCCAAACTGGGCTGAAAATAAACACATGTGAGAATAAGTGTTTGTTTGTTTTAAATATACAGACGTAAATAGATGCGGAACAATATGGCAGCACGGTGATGAGACCGCGTCCTTGATTCTTATCGGTTTCTGGTGGTGATACGTCAGGATTTCATCTCACCGTCGTCATACACTCGGCCGTGTTTGTTAAGAGCAGTCAGGTTGAGGCATTTTCTGAGGCCGTGGCAGTTCCATATCTAAACAGACACGACCATAAACAGCAGCCTGTTAAGATGCTCGAATGCAGACATTACAAAATGAAGCGTCCCGTTTTTCTTACCTCGAGGAGCTGGTGACCGCTCGTCTCTCTGATAACAGCTCTCAGGCCTCGAATGGGAGAGAATCCACTCAACAACCTAAAAAAATAAAAGAAAAACTGACTCCTAAATTTGATGCAGACAGAGGGATCCACTGCTTCTCTACTGCACCTCAACCACACTCAGTGGATTTCCAGCTTTCTGAGACACCCTGTGGTGCACTCGTACATCACAGCAGCAGGCGGACAAGTAAAACCACCTGAGATCAAGTCAGTAGAAATTTTCAGGCACTGTTTTTGCCAATCAATTAAGATTTTACATTAGAAAATGTCCCATTATTATTACTATTAAATTATGGCCCAACTCACTCTCCGGACACAGACACACACGGTCCTGGTGGAAGAACAGTCCTGATGCTCTTGTGATTGTTGCTCTCCGAGATCAGCGTGAACTCCTGCAAGTATCGGAGTCTGGAGCATCGGACAAGTTCGCTCTGACTCCACTCTGCACATGGACACAGTGAACATAGAAAAGTTTATTACTTGTCACAGAACAGAGAAAAAGCCATATGTGTCTGCATGACATCCTGGCAAGCAAATGTTAATATAATAAAAAAATAGTGTTCCCCCGTCAGATTAAACCAAAATATCTGCTCATTTTCTTCACTTGTTATTTTAATGATCCAGTTAAATTATTATTCATGGTTGCACTATTTTCTCCGATAGCTTTTCTCCCCTGTGAGATGGACGGTGGGGGTTGCAGGCTCTCCTTGCAGAGTTAAAGCTGACTCGAGCGTCGATCCCTCAGCTTCACAATCCCGTTTAAAATGAACCAGTAACGTTGAGACTGAATGGAATCCCCCCGACACAGACGGGTTTACGCTGCAAAGCCTTTTAAACCCTTAAGACAAGGTCACGGCTCTTGTACTCAAACGGCAGGCTCTCACAAAAAAGCAAACAAACACGGCCCTCCACATGGAAACATCTTCTGATTGCTTACGCTGAAATGAAAGCAAGTAGTGAGGAGCTCTTTTAATCTTGCTTGTTGATTCCAGTTAACATGAGGAGAGTGTGAGCTGGATTGGACAACTACTGGACTGAGTGTTTATAATAACTCCCCCATGATTGATTTTTCACTACTTACACAATAACTCCATAAACTGTCACATTAAGGTGCAAATTAACAGCTTCATACAACCATGGCACGACGTCCCAGTAGTTACTCCTCTAGATCATCAGACCAAGATATCAGGTCATATCCAAGACCTACTGACCAAGCGATCACGTCGGTATTAATCACCTCATAGTCACTCACTTATGTACTTACTTATGAACAACTGCTGGTGAAAAGGAAGTATTCTTGAATGTAGATGGCTAGGGTTAATTTCAAGTGCACACTAAATTTAAAAGGACCCTAAATGGAAAGCACTTCCTACTATGAAGCATATGTACTAATAATAAATCGTCTATTTTACTTAGAGAAGTTTCAGCTGGGTGCATTTTATTCCCCCTTTCTCCCACTCCACTACATTTTGGGGTCAGTGCTGAGCAGGTTCAGAGTTTTCAGTTTGTTTTCTCATGAACTATCCATGCAGTGAACATAAATTAGCTGACAGTGGGAAGCCGGGTGGTAATAAATAAATAATGACCATCATGTCTGTGAAGGTTCTCAGTCATCCAGGTCATCGTAGTCAAAGGAGCTTGCAAAGACCATCATCATCATCTGTGCACACATGGGGAGGGAGGGGGAGCGCTCACCTGCTGTCACCGTGTATATCCGGGGTTCCTGGAGCTGCTCCTCTCTCACATGGGCTGAAACAGGCGCAGGCAGGCCGCTCACCTCTCCGTACACCCCGGTGATTTGTCTGAGCTCCATCAGAGGCTGTCGCGGTTCACTCGTAGTTCCTGTCAAGCCTTAAACCCTGAAACTTCAACAGTCGCTGCACGGTCATACATCGTGCATTAAATGTTAAAACTATATGAAGTCTGAGGCTCACTGCAGTTCGACTCACGAGTACCTCCACACAGCTCTGTTAACGTTTGTATATCGTTTCTTTGGCTGCAGCTCAACATGTCAGAAGAATGATTTTCGCTGCACCAGCGACTCCATGTTGAATTCATGAATGGGCGATACCACTTGGCTCAGGTTGGGGGGGTGTAGTTGAGGGAAATGACCACGGAGAGGCAGCAGAGATCCGTTGAAACATTTACAGTCTGCATGAAAGTGCGAAGAATTTTTTAGAACTAAAGTGACCAGGACATTCTTTTTAAAAACATTAATTTTTAGTGGTTACTCGCTGTCCACAGTGATATATAAATAGGGATTTTGGCAGCGTGAAATCTGTCTCATGATTAATGAGGTGTTTTCTTTCTGAAAAAACAGACTTAACTTGGCCAAACTACACTGTACAATTACTATGCTCCGGGCTTGGAAAATTATTCTTAAAGGTAATTACAGCTTAAATTACAATAATTTCACATATTTTAGGATTTTCATGTAAAGCACCTGTGCTCACACCAACACTTAGATTCGCTAAATATCATGTTTCCAGGCAGAAACTAGACCTCCTTTCTGATGTAACTTTATGAACTAAGGAGAAAACAGTGTGCTTAAATTCTCTTTATTCAAAATTTTGTCAAGAAGCACCGATAAGATAGTTTGGTGAGATCATAACTTTTATCCAGGGTGAGGGGTCAAACCTGTTGGCTTTGACCCTTTACAAACCCAAACTGCTCACTGATCAGCAGCTCTGATTAGTGGTGTGTATGTTATCATCCAACATTTTATAAACATATCTCCATAAACCCCAATCTTCCCTTTATCTACAGTACATACACATGGATAGATGATATGAGTCACCAACCTGCAACAAAAACAAGAGAAAAAAAAAAAGAGGCAGCAGCTTCATTTTACCATCTTTATCCAATAATTCTGTCTGTAAACAAGTTGTAGTATTTTTTTTAAAGTCTTAAAAAACCACACACATTATGTCCCCTTTAATAAATTATTATTAAAATACAATTCTTCACTATAAATGGTTAAAATGAAATACAACTCCAAAAAAATATGAATACAAACATGACAATATTACCTCTTATTTGATTTTTCCCCTTTTTTTTCTTTTTAATTTTCAATTGTCATGATTGAATTAATTTCCAATAAAACACACCCCCACACAAAACACCACACACATTTTCTTTTAGGTTGCATTGTTTGTAAAGTTAGTTTCTGGTTTGGCAGCTGAAATGTAGCGAGGCAGTGTTTTTCCAGAATACGTCCTTGGCTCTTTTAACATCAGTTCATTGTTGGATAGGTTAAGATATTAAATGGGACCATAGGTATCAAAATGTAAAATACCTGCCTCACCGGTCAGATGACAGGAAAACAGATTGAACTGAGTGTGACTCTGTAAGTGAGATTTTACCTTTTCCTCTGTATTTGCACTGAATTCAGTCGTTATAATCCCACTGAAAGGAAGTTTTGCTTTGTTTCACAGCTCATGTTCACTGTGGAGAATCAGAAACGCTATGGCAGCAAAGCCGGCGCCTGATTTGAAAGAACATCGGGACCTATCCTCCGCAAACTGAGAATAAACGCTGGCCGCCTTAAATTTGGAGAATGACACTGCATGTGAAGAGCACAAGTGGCAAAAAAAAACTGAACAAACAAACAAAAATAACCCTGTTTGCTGAGTGTATGCTTGCGAAGAGCTGAAGGCATCACGTTGTATCCATGAAAGGAGTTCCTCGGTTTCTTCATTGTGGCCGTGCTCTTACATGACATCGGCACGTTTGTCCCGGACCTTGTTCCTCTGTTTAGTTCTGGCTTTGAAGGCAGCCGAGTTGAAAAGATGCTGTTTAAGCCAAAAAATAAAAGCAAGGTTGTAATCACACACCGGTCCTTTCAAACGCTACATTTTTAAAGAAAATACTCAAAAGGTCAGATTGTTTCAGCAGAAGCTGCTGTTACCTTCTCAAACCGTGAGATCTTGTTGCCTTTGACTGCAGCGTCCAGGATGAGTGGTGGGCCAAGGCCAAAGATGTCTCTCAGTAGTTGGTTGAACTGCACCAAAACAAAAATTAGACAATATGAGCCGACGATAAAAACGATTTTCCTTTGTTGCATTTATGCTATGCAGACTGCAATGCAGGAGAATGTATGTTTTATTCCATAAACAAAGCTATTTTCGGCAGCTCCCATGCTACAAGGAGTTGTGAGAGCGGGGAGCTCCGGCTGTTTGATTTGGCAGTTTTATGTCGGATGCCCTTCCTGGGATTTGTATCTCTAGCTGGAATCAAACCAGCAACCTTTCACTTGACAAGTCCCACCTATATGCAACTCTCAGCTGTACCACAAGTGGAGGGTACATACAAAAGGCATCTTAAAAAATCCAGTTAAAAAAAAAACAACAAAAGCAATAAACTTACTAAATTAAGTACCACGTCATGCCTTCTTAAAGGTATAGTATCTCATTCTAGTGGATTTTTTCAGTAGAGGCGTCACTTTAAACATTGGATCATTTCGTTCAGAGTGTTTGTGCATCATTTCATAGCTTATTTGCCCTAAATAAACCTAACAGAGTCAGTGGGATTTGCCCACACAAGCGGCTCGTGTGTAGGTGTGCTCATTGTGTGCCGACTGGCATATCCTCCACACAAAATTACATTTGGTATCCTCGCAGCCTGCTGGCTGAGCAGCCAGTACCAGTCTTCCCACTCAACTTCAGGTTTTTGTTTTCTGCAGTCAGTGCAAGATGTGACAGAAGACAAGACTGAAGAGACAGAAAGCACCGAGCAGCTGCAGTAAATGAGGCTGTAAGAAAACAAGCCCACTCTGCTGATCAGTGATAAAGATGAAGGCATTTTGTTCCGTTTCCTCACCTGCAGATGGTCTCTGACTCCAGACTCGAGGATCTCTTTGAAGGCGTCGTAGATCCTTCTCCTCACCCAGCTGTCAATGTAAACGTTCTCCACTCCAAACCTGATTTTCTCTTCTGTGAAGTCCTCGTTCTGGAGAAAGAAATGAGAAGTGAGAAGCTCAGATGTGGGTAAAGCGATGTTGAAGAAAGCTACTTGGCAACTTAAAACAGAACATCGGGCACCTAAAAACATTTCTGTCAGTCTTTACACAGCTTCAACATGAGATAACATACCTCTATGTAATGCAGCACCTCTCTGAAGATGGAGCGTTGTTTCCTTCTGTCGTTCTTGGCTCTGTGCTTGTTGCCGTCTGTGGCCAAACTCTTCAGGCATTCACACAGACTTTCACCGTCCTCCACCTCAAACTCCTGCAGACATTCACACGCAAATATGTAGTGCACTAACACAGGAGACGTTTAAACCTATACGCCTGTAAGTGAGTGTACTTGTCTGTTCTTATTGTTCAGGTGTGTACCTCGTCGATCTCTCGCCCCAGCTCCACCAGCAGGGCGATGGTCTCTCCCACTGCGATTCTGTAGTTCACATCGCTGCTCTGAAGACACGCCTGTAGTTTAGGGAGGTGACTACAGCAAGAAAGAGGCATACGATTACCAGTTAGCTACACTGCTAGATACTACTGCTGTCGCCTCTCATTTTAAAACTAAAGTCAGTTGCCAGTCATAACAGAAGATGCCATAAGAAGGTTGTTTTACTCACTGGCTGAGCAGCACAGTCAGTCTAGAAGTAGGACAGATGGTGACCAGCAGTGACCAGGCCTGCAGGGCAGCAGTGTGCAGACCTGCACTTCCAGGCTTCGGTGTGGGCAGAACTCCCTCTCCATTAGGGTACGAAGACATGAACACACTCTCCAGAAGAGCCAATGACTTGATTAAGTCCTGTGAGGAGGTAACATCAATGCATAACAGCATAAGTTATTTAAGTCTTTTTCTTTTACTCTGAAAACGTCCAGCTTATGCTTCTTAGAATTAAACTGATAAGCTACAAAGTGTTCTCACCTCTCCATCTTCAGCAGATGAGACATAGCAGCACATCCCCAGAGTCCTAGCACACTAACGGGGACACAGATGCAACAACGGTCAAACTAACACACAAGCATCTGAGGACAGACAGCGACACTTCATGTGTGATCCTAACACAATCTGGGCTTAGTTAGAATCTAAATCATGCAGATAACATTTGAGCTGAAAATAAAAAACACACCCCGTACCCCCCTCCGAATAGGCCATCCTAAATCCATTAAATGCATTAACGTTCACAAGTTTCATGTGATTACTCACACTCTGGCGAGCTGCTATGCTGGCACTGCTGTCACTCAAGGTGGCCGTGAGAGGCGGGCGAAGCATTTTGAAGCCCTCCTCCGCCTCGTCTCCGCCCCCCAGCTGAATGCAGAGCAGAGCAAAAACCGTGGCCGACGCCGCCTTCTCCTCCCCGCTGCCTGGACACACGAGGAGAAAGAGTTTTATCAGTACCTGCAGTTTTTAAATCATTTTCACGCTTCTGTTCTATTTAAAAAAACAAAAAACAAAAAAAACAGTTTTCATAAATCTTTTTAATTTGTACAAAGTGGCATCAACAGGTTAACAGAAAACAAGATTAACTGAAACAATCCAGACCCATTCATGTTGTTTTGCATTACCTTTTCTGAGGCTCCTTTCCAGGCAGTCGCTGATGGTGAGGCGCCTCTCTGTCAGGAAGTCATACAGCACTCTGGAGGAGAAGGCCTGTCGCAATGATTCAAGAGCTGCTAGACGAGTCTTTGCACTAAGACATGAGGAAGAAAATAACAACAAAAGGTGTTGGAGCAATTTTTTTTTTGCAGTTAATAATGCCATTGCATGCTTATTTTTCTTTCTTGACACTTCTTAATTTTTTTTTTTTTTTTTAATTTTTTAAAAAAAAATGTTTCTCACCTCTTATCAGTCAGGTTGTCTATACACAGTTTGAGTTTGTCTTCCGTTTCTTCCTGCGCAGTTTGCTCATCCACCTGCTCACTTCCTGTGTCAGATCAAACAACACAGAAAACTGATACGACTGCATTAAAAGGCAACCGTTTGAAGTTTTGACTGGAGACTCCGGCCACAGATACACAGATCGTTTAGTGGCAAATCAATTAGAAAATAATGGTCCTAACCCAGACTGAATGCACATGCAGAAGGAATGAATTGTGTAGTGTATTTACCCGTGCCCTCTTCCAGCACCGAGGTGCTCTCGCTGGCACTGCTGTAGTGGCTGAGAACGTCCGACATCAGCTCATCATCGCTGCCTGCCGCCTCTCCCTTTACTCCATTTTTAGCACCTGGAGACGGAAAAGATA